CTTCTATTGGCCTAAGATGCTCACGGATGTGCAACTAGTTATTTCTAGATGTGCAACTTGTCAAAAAGCGAAGGCTACTTTTCATCAAGGCTTGTATACTCCTTTACCTGTTCCAGATTCACCTTGGGAAGATATTTCTATGGATTTTATTGTGGGATTGCCGAAAACACAACAGGGGAAAGACTCTATTATGGTTGTTGTGGATAGGTTCTCTAAGATGGCTCATTTTGTTCCTTGTCACAAAGTGGATGATGCTATGAAAGTGGTGGAATTATACTTCAAGGAGATTGTTAGATTGCATGGAATTCCGAAAATTATTGTGAGTGATCGAGATACAAAGTTCATGAGTTTCTTTTGGAAGTCTTTATGGAAGCTTGTGGGAACTAAATTGCTCTTTAGTACATCTTACCATCCACAAACTGATGGACAAACCGAGGTTACTAATCGTACTCTTGGTGCGCTTTTGCGTGGGTTAGTGAGTAAGACACAAAAGGATTGGAACATCAAGTTAGCTCATGCGGAGTTTGCTTATAATAGATCACCTACATATGCTACCAAACATAGTCCTTTTGAGGTAGTCTATGGAGTCAATCCGAAACTTCCAATTGATCTTGTTCCATTGCCTAAGAGTGAGTTAATTCACAAAGATGCCGAGTCTAAGTTGAAGAGTATGCTGAAATTACATGCTCAAGTTCGAACAAGAATAGAGAAAGTAAATGACATGTACAAAGCTAGAGCAAACAAGCATAGAAAGCAACAAGGTTACAATGTTGGAGACTTGGTATGGTTACATTTGAGAAAGGAAAGATTTCCAGGAAAACGCAAGAATAAGTTGATGCCTAGAAGTGAAGGTCCTTTCAAGATTATTGAGAAGATCAATGACAATGCTTATAAGTTAGAACTTCCGGGAGAATATGGAGTTAGTGCTACATTCAATGTTGGCGATTTGACTAAGTATATTCCTGATGAAGAACTTCGAGATTTGAGGACAAATTCTTTCGAAGAAGAGGAGGATGATACAAGTCTAAGCATGAAGAACTTCGAAGATTTGCTTATCATGCATCAAGATAGCTTGTCCCTAAACATTGATTCAAGCCAAGCATTGCATGGACACTTTCTTGGATATCAAAGCAAAGCCACGGTTTGCTTAGTGGCTTTTCTTGGAGTCTAGTTCACTTTCTTGAACTTTCTTGAATTTTCTTTACTTAGATTTTTGCTTACAAGTTTTTACCTTTCACTTGAAAGGGTTTTTCTTGGTTCAAGCATTAGGATCTTTAATCTTTATTTAGTTGCTTTTAAAATCAGTTAGTTAGCAAAATAAATCAGTTTAGGCGTGTGCTTGTGCTCCAAGGTGCTTGCTCTTCAAGCAAGTTAGAATTCTAGTTTAATTAGGATTGAATTAGGAACTTGTCCTAATCTTCCTAGGTAAACTAAGTCTATAAATAGGGCTGTAAAACACACGAATTAAATAGAGATTAATATTCAGATTTATTTCTTAAGTTGCATACTTGAGTTTTTGTTGATTGCGATCAATTGCTGTTTTGCTTGTTTTAGTTAAAACATTCGTTTGGATTGATTAATTAGGTGGATTCTTAATTGATTAATCTTAGTTTTTGTTTAATTCTTGGTGGATTTCCTGTATAGAATTAGACTTAAACATATCCCTTGTGTTTTGTTGATTTTCGGATCAATAATTCACATCATCGCCCGATCTGGCAACGGAGCTCTAGAATTTTACGACTCTTCTTGCGCCCAATCGGGCATATCTGACCCTTTGAATTTCCTTTCTTTATTTCCAACAGTGAGAAGTTGATGTACATTTGGGTTTCAATGTAGATATATCAAGCATCCACTGTGGGTACAATAAACATATATTGTAGATACATTATGCATGCCTCGGAAAAGAAAATGAAAGCAAACCAATATCTCTAAATAGCCAACATCCCATTATTTATAAGCTCAAAGGAATTCTTGCAAATAAACATCCAACATCATTCAAATTATAATACTTTTAATCGGTACAATAAGGATCAAATATAAATACATTAAGAAAACATTATAGAAACATCAAATGTAAGGTAGAATTACATCAAGTAGATGTCATCTAACTAGGATAAAGTATATAAAAAATGAAATTCCTTAATACCAATAGGAGAGAAATATTGAAGGTTATTTTAGATCTACTAGTCAGACAAACAAAGCTCAAATTATCTTCAATAAACCAATAACACCAGCACCATAGTATTAGTGGTTTTGTTATGAAAATACAAAAAATATTTAGATCTGAAAGCAAGATACCAAAAGTAGAACATATACAAAGGAGGAAATCTAAGATTATATTCTGCTAAATTGATCTATTTTCAGTCGTCGTTGTTGGAGCTTCAACAGAGAAGACAATGGAGAGTGGAGAAAAATCAACAATTTAGTTCCAATTGATTGAAATTCACTTGACAGAAATCTGAAGGTTGAAGGCTTACAAAAAATTGAAGGATGAAGACAGATAACGATTTGAATTGAGAGGGAGAATGAAAACCATAAACTAGAGAGAGAAAGTATGTTATATAAAACCTATTACTCACATGTTCTAAATTGTAAACCTGATGTCATAAATTTTTATTCACGTGTTCTAAATCTTAAATAAGTAAAATTAAATGTTCTAAACTATTACTCCATTGTTCTATATCTTTAATAGTTATATGTTTTATCATATGTTCTAAATTACTTTCAAATGTTCTAAATCTTAAATAGGTTGATCTAAATTTTTTTGTGTTCTAAGAATTTTAACCATAAGTTCTATATTGAATCATATGTTCTTAATTTTTACTCGTATATTCCAAATATGTCATATGTAAATTTGAGATCTGTTCTCATATAAAGTACGTGTTCTCACAAAGTGAATATTCTCACTAGTTCCCTCCCCGTGATAAAATCTTGCATTATAATACACAGTTTTTTCCACCATATCATAATAATCATCCAACCTTTAAATTTGAAGGGCCAAACATAGTAGCAAACAAACATCTTATTTTGCCTAATGTCAGTACTTATGTTTCCATTTATGCTACATTAAACAACACATTTACGATATTAGCGGGAAAAAAATAATATCTTAGTACCACAGTTTTCCAGATTCTATACATTTCTATAATGTAAGTGATTTACATAATTAGGGATCTAATTATATTGCCAAAATCAGAAAACAAACTGCAAGTATATATTGCAAGCCCATTGCAATAGTTCTCTCAGGTCATACAACTAAAACGATACTATAAATTTACAGCACAATCTGAGACGCAAAATTCACATAGCTTTTGAAAACTTGGAAATAACAGGAAATTAATGTCAGATCAATCTGATACAAATCAAAGTTTTCGGCATATACCAAAAGTAACACAAGGCTTTTTAATTGTAACCATTCCAATTACAATACCATCAAGTATAAGATTGAAGTCCACAATGCTCAAATCTTACCAGTAGATTCTGAGGCTTAATATCCCGATGGCATATTCCGATGCAGTTGTGTAAATATGCCAATGCCCTGCAGATCTGCATAGGCAGAAAATTAACCACAAAGAAGTGAGTGAAGTTATAAAGAAAGAGGGGAGACGAGGAACCAGTATCAGCTACTCCATACTTAATATGATCACACATAACAGACCATAAGCATTTTCAGTAAATGTCTCCTCAAGATGCTTAGTAAAATTCCTACACACCCACCCCTTCATTTTCATAGAAGCCCTTACTGCTTAAGCCCAAAGGATGCTATGTTAAAAATCCTAGTAAAATCCACCATGATTAACCCAAAAGCTGAACTGAAACTGCAATACAGCTGATGTCATAAACTAGAGAATTTTTTATTCCATATTAATTAAAAAAAAATAGATAAATTAAAAGGTACTTGGGATTCTTAACCAAACAGGATGACAATAGTTGGCAACTTAAAAACTAAATTTAAAATACCAATGGTACTAAAATATATATATAATTTTAATTAGGGTGCTTAGTTTTAAAAAGCGCGCCTAGGCGCACTTGAGGCGCGAGGCGAAGCGAGGCGGTCAGCAAAGCGCCTCACAGTCTAAGAGCGTGGCGAAGTTAAGGAGGCGCGCGCCTCAGTGCTTTTGCCTTGAGGCGTGAGGCGCTATGAGGCGACGTCTTTTAGATGTCAGGCGATTTTGAGACACGTGCAACTATAAAAAAAAATTAAAAAAAAAGGCTTTAATTAAAGAAATAGAAGAGAGAGAAAAAATATCTATTTGAAAATTAAAACCCTAGCTTCCAGAAACCAGCCAATTCTCGTTGGGTCTCTGCCGATTCTCGCCGGAAACGACCCAAGCTGTGGTGGATCTCGCCGAAAACCAGGTTAGCTTGCTATTTTTTTTTTCGTTTTTTGTATTGCTTCTTTTTTTTTTTTTTTTTGAGGAATTGTACTGCTTCTTCGTCCTATTTTTTTTTTTTTTATCTTTTTACTGCGTTTTTAAAATTTGTTTTTTTATTTAGCATACTTGTATTTATCTTCTATGTTCTGATTTTATATTCTGTTTTTTTTTTTTGGCTTTCCAATTTATTTATTTTAGTTTTTTGGTTCCAATTTTTTTTTTTGTTCTTCTTTGTTTATATTTATTTTGTTACTGTTTTCTTTTTTTTTTTTGACGAAAATTGTTACTGTTTTCTGATTATAGGAACATCTTCCTTCCACCGGATCATCCGATCCCGGCCCGGCTAGAAAATATGGAAAACCGGAACCTAATAATAGAGTTAATTGGCATTGTAGTTTTTGTGGTAAAGTGACTAAGGGAGGGACACATCATTTAAAACAACACTTAGTTGGTGGCTTTAGAAATGTCACTAAATGTCCTAAATGTCCAGAACATGTGAGGGAGGAAGTTAACACTTTTATGATAAACAAAGCTCAAGCAAAAGTGGACAGTCAAATGATGCCAAGCATGTCCCAACTAGAAACGGATGATGCTGATGAAGAAGAGGAAGATGTTGTCACAAAATGTGAAAAAGTTTAGGCACAAAGGTCCTTTGGATATGTTTATCACTTCAACTCCTAAAGAAGTAATGCAAGCTAGGAAGGAAAGGAAAGGAATTTTTGGTGCTTGTAATAAGGAGTTAAGGGAGAAAACTTGTAGGACAATTGGTAAGTGGTTTTATGATGCGGGAATTCCATTCAATGCAGCTACCTATGCTAGCTTTGGAGCAATGATTGAAGCTATTGGTCAATATGGTCCCGGATTAAAACCACCAAGTATCTTGAACAAAGAAGTGAAAGATGTTGAGATGCAAGTAGAGGAGAGCAAGAAAGAGTGGGCAAGTAAAGGTTGTTCAATTTTATCCGATGGATGGCGTGATTCGGTTGTCCAAAAGGATATTATAAACTTCCTTGTCAATTCTCCTAAGGGTTCCGTGTTCATAAGATCATTGGATGTTTCGGATGTTGTGAAAGATGCGGAGTTATTGTATAAACTTCTAGATAAGATGGTGGATGAAATTGGAGAGGAAAATGTGTTCAAGTGGTGACGGACAATGCATCCAATTATGTCAAAGCCGGTATGAATTAGCAAATAGTCTTTTCACTCTTGTAATATGTTCAATTAAATTTTACTAATTGTTTTGCTTTGTAAGTTTTTATTTAATACTTTTTTTTTCCTTTTTGTGGATTGTAGGAAAAAAAAACTTGAATCTAAGAGACCTCATCTTTATTGGACTCCTTGTGCTGCTCATTGTATTGATTTGATGTTAGAAGACATTGGCAAACTACCAAGAGTTTTGAATGCACTAAAGAAGTGCATGATCATCAATGGCTATATTTATAACCATACCTCTCTGGTGAACTTGATGAGGAAGTTGATGAGGAAGTTCACACAACAAAGAAATTTACATAGGCCATCAATTACTAGGTTTGCAACATCTTTCATTACACTAGCTCAATTTCATAAGCAAAAGGGCAACTTGAGAAAGATGATAACCTCTCAAGAATGGAGTGCTTCCAAGTGGCAGAAGGAAGCGGGAGGAAAGAGAATTGCAACTTATATTTTGCAAGCAAGCTTTTGGAAGAATGTGGTGTATGCTCTTAAGCTAACAAGTCCCCTTGTTAAGGTGCTAGACTTGTTGATGGGAGAAAAAGCCTCCGATGGGACACATTTATGAAGCCATGGATAGAGCTAAAGAGACTATAGCGAAGACTTTTGAATTAGGAGAAGAGAACTACATTAAGGTATTTGAGATCATTGATAAAAGGTGGGATAGTCAACTTCATCATCCTTTGCATGCAGCGGGTTTTTATATTAATCCAGAACTTCATTATGATCATTCCGTAAATGTAAATTGTGAGGAAGTTTTGAAAGGTTTGTATGATTGTATTGAAAGGCTAGTTCCGGTTGTGGAAACTCAAGATAAAATACTTGCAGAGTTGGATGAATTTAAGAATGCTACCGGTCTCTTTGGTCGTGCAATGGCAATTAGGGGAAGGAAGACCAAATCTCCACCAGTGGTGCAACAACTCCTAACCTCCAAATGTTTGCCATCAAAATTCTTAGCCTCACTTGTAGTGCTACAGGTTGTGAAAGAAACAGAGGTGTTTTTCAACAGGTTTGTACCTTCACTTTTATTGATTTATGTAATATGATTTTATTTTATTACATTATATAGCTTATATTATTCTATTTTTACAGCTTCATTCTTATTTTAAACGTAAAAGAGGGGTTTCTAAACGTAAAGAGGGGTTCTATGTTGAAGAGAACTTAAAAGAGGTGCAGCTATGGCCATTTGATTTACTTATTTTGGAGTTGTGTTAGGCTGCTCTTGTGTGCATTTCTTTTTCATTATCATTAAAATAAAATAAAATCATATTACATAAATCTTTAAACACATAGATAGTTTCTAAACGTAAAAGAGGGGTTCTCACAATAGTATTCCCTTAAACACATAGTTCTATGAAAATAGATCTAAACTTTAGAACATGTGAGCAAAATCTTTAAAAATATGAGTGAAAATTTTAAACATATGATTTAAATTAAGAACACATGATTCAATTTAGAAAATATTAGTAAAATTTAAAACAACTAATTTAAGATTTAGACCAAGTTAGTAAAAATTTAGAAAACCTAGTTTACAATTAAAAATATCTATTTTAAGATCATGTTTGGCAAAAGTAGCGATAGCGGGTAGCTTTTAGCGGTCGAATAGTGGGTAGCTCTTAGGCCTTGTTTGGCAATAGTGTTTGAGGTAGCGGTAAGCGTTTTGACCAGTCAAAACACTACTATAAAATATTTGAGAGTGTTTGGCAAGGTAGCGATTCTAGTAGCGGTTAGTGATAGAGGTAGCGTTTAGGTAGCTTTTCTCAAACGTTAAAAATAGTTTAGAAGTAGCGGGTAGAGTTTAGAAGTAGCGGGTAGCGTTTAGAAGTAACGGTAGCATTTGACAAATTTTATTACTTTTAAAACAATAATTACATGAATTTTGATATATATTAGTATTGCAACCGCTACTTTTGCCAAACACTCATACTATCAACCGTTACCTTGACAACTAACCTCTACCCGCTACTAATTGACCACTACTCGCTACCTTAACAGCTACCCGCTTTACTCAACCACTAAAAGCTACCCGCTACTTATGTCAAACAGAACCTAAGATTTAAAACACGTGACCAAAAATAAAGAATACCTGATTTAAAATTTTAAACATATGGTTTAAATTTAGAGCATGTAAATAAAATATATGAGTAAAGTTTTAGAACATATATATTAAAACCAAGAATATATTATTAGAAATATTTGAACAAAATTTATAATTTTGAAAAATACAAGTTCAAGTTTGAAACTAATTTAAGATTTAGAACACGAGAGATTATAAATGTGGATCAAAACTATGAGAGATTATAAATGTGGATCAAAACTATGAGAGATTATAAACAATCATAAATTCTAACAAAAAATATTCAACTGAGCTTCAGAATATGGGTTTCAAATCTGAAGTAAAGAGACCTAAAAGGACTGAGAGAAAAAGAACATGACTACTAAATTACGCTAAAAAATCTTACCCAATCTTTACATCAATAATTACTTGTAGAATGAACACAAAAGATTATTTCAAACTTCAACGGTGATTAAGGTTACATAGTTATAAGTTAAATATAGTAAAATTGCCTTGGATGTAAGGCTAGCAAAAGCTGACACGACCCGAAAACCCGACACGAACCTGGCTTAAAAATAACGGATTGAAATTTTTGACCCGAAAACTTAAGTTAGCCAACAAGAACCCAACGTGACAAATAAACGGGTTAGGTTAAGGTAGAATATCTAACTTAAAAATGACCCACTTTACCCGAAATATTAAGTGGGTCATATAGGGGGCTGAAATATATATATATATATATATATATATATATATATATATATATATATATATATATATATATATATATATATATATATATTCAAAACTAAGCCTTTAGGATTTGTAAACAAGAGGATTATGTCGTTTGGGATGGGAATTGGAGATTGGACCTAAGCCCACATCTTTTACCTTATCATAAAATCAATCTAAACCCTAGCCGTAAGTTCATTCTTCAATTCCTCCTCTCTTTTCTTTAACAAAACACACTCTCTCTCTCTCTCTCTCTAGCAGCACCTCACTAGTTCTTTCTCTCTCCAAAAATCCCCTTTTAAGTTCTCTTCAATTCTTTAGTTCAGTTTGTAAATTATGTTTTTAGTGGAAGATTATAGTTTAGTCTCTCCCCTCTTACAAGGATATATTGTATTGTGATTACATAGGGTGATGCATGTACGAGATTCGAATAAAAAGCTTTCAAGTCCAAGCTCTCTTATGCACTTCATATTTTCAAACAAAAAAATTAAAGAATTTACTAGTTATATGTTGTAATACTTTGTATTAGTTTGGGAATATTTAATTCTATTTTGCGAATTATTTTTATTATTCTATACTACCAAATCTATTACTTCGTAAATTGTTTTCCACAAAAAAAAAAAAAAAAAAAAAAAAAAAAAAAAAAAAGAAAAATTAAATTGTAATATTTATAAATTTAACGAAATGCTCCGCAGTAATATAGCATTAGAACTGAAAATACTACCTCCGATTCTTATTACTCTCAACAAAGGGGTATTATTTGTGAGACATAAAATATTCCTATGTTGCGAGTAATTTGAACCGGAGGTAGTATATATATTCTGTAACAAAAAATTGTTACCTCCAAAAAATTATTTAAAAATCAGGTTAAATCATGTCAAATTCATGTTGACTAGAACCCGAAAATATGGTCAGGATTTGCTTACCCGAAATTAGGTGACCGAACACAAACCCGACCCAACTTGATTTGTTGCCAGCCCTACTTAGATGTGGCTTTTCATAAATTAGCTCCCTTCCTAAACCATGCTCAAAAAGTTCCTAACTTTTACTTTTTGCACCAAAGTTAAAGTAATTTGAAAGAGAGTGTTGATGTCGAGGACAGTTATTTAAAATTAAGGATAGCTAGATTGCTCGCCACAGGTAATTGAGTGAGCGTAGCAAAGGAACGATAAGACGGTTTTAGGGAAGTAGTCTCCCTGTTAGTGGTAGGGCTAAAGTGAGTATGTCCGTATAACGTATTTTATTATCGAAGTTTATGAGTTGAAAACCTTTGATGAAGTCGCCCTTTTTCCTTTCGAAAGAAATTATTAGAGGTTTTATCAAAAAATATCCAGCGCGCTCGTTATGAGCAAAGAATATTATAAATGGCCGAAGCCTACCAGGGCTATAAATTTTATTTACCTGTGTTTCTTGACTTCCGAGGAAGAGCCTACCGTTGTGGTAGCTTGAATTTTAATGAATGCGATCTTGTTCGAAGCCTGATATTATTTGATAGCGGCGATGAGATGGGTGATTTGTACCGGGTGAATTAAAAAAGTGGAAAAAGTAAGAGAGAGAGAGCCAAAACAGGATAGGTTTAAGTAAAAAGGTGGATGTAACTATGACACAATGACCTAAAAGTTGTAAGTGTGTAGCTATAGTGGGGTTATAATATCATATAGTAAAAGGGTTTGCCAAAAGTGAAATAAAAATAAACTGTTAAAAACTTATCTAAAATGGGTGAAGATGGAAAGAGGTTAGAACCTTACCTTTTCTGTTCTCTTTTAAGTAGTCGACTGAAAGTTTTCTAATATCATTTCAGCATGCAATTAATAAAGTCATAGAGTTTTAACAATTTTAATTGAAAAACTTACAAGACTTACATAAGGAGCCACAAAAGAGATGGGGGAGATTACATGAATATACTTTATAGCAAATACCTGATAGGTATAGAGTTTGACATATATTAGAGGCATCTTCTGGTGCATTCTGTTGTATCCCCTTGCAATGCGATTGACAGTTTCAGGAACATATTCAAGAACGAGATTGAGGTATACCTCCTCCTTATCTGTTGTTGAAAAGAAACAATGCTTGAGAGCTACAATATTAGGATGATCTAACATCTGCATGATCTGTAACTCTCGGTTTTTGTAGCGTTTGTCCTGTAACACCTTCTTGATGGCTACAATCTCCCCAGTCTCCCTACACTTTGCCTACATAAAGAATTTTAATTTACAAGACAGAATCCAATACAGCCTAAGAAATACAAGAAAACACAGAGTAACCATGGATACACTCACCTGGTATACAACACCAAAGGAACCGGTTCCAACCACGTGCTCTGCAATATAATTGATGGTCTGTCCAAGGAAATCAAATAATCTCGGTAAGATCTTAAAGATCATCTCACTCAAGCAACAACCTGAAAATTTTATGCATAACATTCATCCAACCTGTCTAGGTTGACCATTACGACCGCCAATCGTTGTCCTGATAACATGCCCTGCTTCTGCACCAACACCATCAATAATATCTGGTTCACTATCCTGCTGAATGATCCAATTTTGAAATATTATATCAGTCATTTATTGCATTTGTAAATATCAGTCATTTATGGCATTTGTACATTAAAGGCCAATTCCGTAGACACAAACAGTTTTGCACCTAATAGAATTGCTCGAGTTTACAATCTAAGCTTATTAAGTATGATCGTACATAACAACTCTAAGGGTGTGCTCATACGCAACCCTGCTCATAAACAATCCACTAAATTGAATGTGTTATCCTATCAGATATAAAGGAATTAAATATATGATGCAAATTTAGCTTTCATGTTTCATAAGAAGACTTTTCTGGTTTTCTATGAATGAAGGTTAATAATATAGGCAGTTTGGCACACTATTTTACAGTATTAATTTCATATGATGCTTGGACTTGGATACGGTTGTCAAACTTAGGCGTAGATCCATGTTTTCAAACATGGAAATTTTTTTTCTTAAAGATACTGGTACATGGGTGACCAAAGTGGTCAAGGTTCGAATATTCCAGTCCAAGAGTTGAACGTTAGGGAATTGATTTTGTCCAAGTCTTTCTTCAAAGTTACTCCTATGGATTTTGGCATGC